TTCCTTCCTTCCTTCCTTCCTTCCTTCCTTCCTTCCTTCCTTCCTTCCTTCCTTCCTTCCTCAGAGACTACAAAGAATAGCAACTAGTTTTGTGCTCAAGGAAATTTTAAAAACATTCAATAAAAGAAACCATGTGGGATGACTGCCTTTGTAGTGGTTACTTCAGAAACCAGGTTTGTTTTTCCATTTTCACTTTTGAAGCAGAGGCACAACCTCTGCAGAGAACCCTGTGAGAATGAGAGGCATTCTTCCTGTTGTAAGGAGCAGAACAATTTAAGATCACCATTGTTTTGAACACTTCACAAAATAAATAAAATATATAGGCTGGCTATGGACAACTGATTTTTCTCTGGGTCTTTCAAACTTAGAGATTGGGAAAAAAGCTCCTGGAAATTGGGCAGTAGAAGTTATTTGATTCACACAAATCCAAACATTCCTATACTTTTGATGGAACGTATAGCTCTATCTTTTACCTGCACATTGCTCCATCTCTTTATTCTACCTAATAATACAGCAAAAGTAAACAAAATTACGTAGAGTTGTAAGGGGCCAGGGTTTGGATGCTGGCTGGGGAATTCTGGGAGTTGAAGTCCACACGTCTTAAAGTTGCCAAGTTTGAAAAACATTGATTTAAAGCACTGGTCCAACTCAGTGCTTGGTGTAGAAATCCTATTTAATGCATCCCAGAAGAAGATCCCTCTAAATATTACCTGAATACAGGTAGTCCCCAGGTAGTTTAAGAACGAATTCCATTCCTAAGGTCTGTCTTTAAGTCAAACTTCTTGTAAGCTGGAACAGTATTATTGTATAAGACTATATAAGTAGTATTGTGTAATTAACTCAAATCATTGTGTATTTAACTCAAATTTTGCCACAATAGGCTCCATTCTTAACTATGGATCATCCTTAAACCGGGCATTCTTAACCCGGGGACTACCTGTACATGCAGTGACGGAGACCCATGATCTTTTTGAACCATTGGTTCCCTAATTATGCCACAAGCACGCTCCATGAAGTGTTATGTGTCAGGTTCAGCCCAAGAACAGCGGGACAATCCAAAACAGTTTAGCTCCTTTATTAGCTTGCACCTAATAGACAGAATCTCACCAGACTAATTCTAATCCCCAACAACAGCAACTATAACCATGATGCCCTAGGGAGGGTCAACTTTCCCACACTCTGGCTGGGGGCTGTGCTACCCCTGGAATCTCTCTTCTCCGTCCCGGCAACCTTGAAGCTCCATTCCAGAATCCTCTCCGCTCATGCCTTCCATCACACTATGTTGCAGATTTGAACTTTGGGATCTTCTGCACCGATGCAATTTCATTCATTCACTCATTCATTCATTGAATATATATCCCCCCATCATAGACAGATTCTCAGGACCTCACAAAACAGAACAATGACATAAAAATATATAAGAAAAAAAAAACACTTGCAATCCAAAACACTACGTGGTGTTAACCTGTGTATGCCTGTGTATTGCTTGAGGAAGGAGGTTAAAGTTGAACTCATTGAACTTCCCACAGGAGGCCATCTTGGAGGGCCAGCCCAATGATTAAAAAACAAGGCCCCTGGGCTTCAGTCTACCTGACCTCCCGAGAATGTTCTCCCAGCACAATCAAAGCAGTTGGGAGAAATGCAGTCTGGAGCTAACCAAGTGCCAAACCCAAAGCACTTTCTCACAACCACCACCTTGTGATGGAGGCTGTGTTAAGAAAGGACGCCTAGCCCAAAGTCATCCAGTGACTCACCCCAGTTCAGGTCCAACACCCCCAACTGCACCATACTGGCTCATGATGTGCTAGTAAACCGGGAAAATAGAGAACACAGGGAGGGGGGAGGGGTATGCATGTGATACTTTCCCAGTTTATCTTCTCATCAATGGGTGCTTAGTGACTAGCCACACCTCCAATGTTGGCCATTTGGTAGCAAATCACATCCACAGTATCAGCCATTTTCTGACTAGTGTCCCCCCACAATTCTAGTCATTTTCTAGCTAACAATATCCATATTATCAGACATTTGGTGACTAACGATACCCATAGCATCCTTTCGTGTCTAGCCACACTCACAATTTTGTAGCAAACATATGAGCCATTTTCTGACTAGCCACACCCACAATCTCAGTGTAGCTAACAAGGTCAGCGTTTCAGCCATTTTATGACCCACCACATCATTTTCTGTGCTGGCAATGCTGGCTGCCAACCAACATGATAGCAAACTGGATGGCTGCCACAGACCAGCCATATAGGACTGCTGGTTCTTAAGGTCAGCTGTGGCAAGCGGATCTCAGTTAAACTTAGGAGAGCCCATTGAACTATGACGTTCATCTGGATATATATTTTTATACATAATGGACACGTGGGAAACCAGAACAAAATCAGTCCCCTCCACATTTTTTCTGCACTTAGCTGTTTAATCTCATTTTCCCACAGCTGATTCTACCTGATCCTCTATGCTCATGTTGGATGGGGCTCTGGGAACGATCAGAGCTCACGTGCATAATATGAGAATAGGAAAGACTACTATGGTTTTGGTGGTGAGTCAACTCTACTGGGTCCTACATCCGATTCATAATCCAAGACAAATACAGACCAGGAAGGAAGAACATAGTTTTCTGTGCAGTGACGTTAGCTTAAACCCAACAAGATGGTCATAGCTTGGTCAGAACTACCTTGCCAACGTATAGACTTCTAATCATTGACTCGGTGTTTATAATGTGTATGTTGAGGTTTAAAGGTGAGGGTCACCATGCAGATGAAGAACAAATATTAGCTATTGATTTCAAAGTATATATTGAAAGGTAAATCTCTTTCAGAACCTTGCTCTCCCAGCAGAGCTCCAGTTGCTGTCTCCTCTGATTCCTCAAACATTTCCAACATGTCCCTTTTAATTTCCTTCTTAATTGGGACACAGATGCTTCACTTGGTGGTTGCCTCTCCACCTCTTCGCTTTCTTTCCCCATCATGCAATTCTTTGGTGGTAAAGGCTGCTGCAGAAGCGGCCCTTAACAAACTCAATCCAGATCGAAGAGAAGGCTACGTTCTTAGCCTCCAGCGCATTTTTAATGTCCACGAACTACCCCAGGTAAGATCTCCCCCTTCTACTGACTTTTTTCTTTCCTTCAACTTGGTAGCATCCATCTTTAAAGATGTCAAATCAAGGTAGGGCTATCTGGGTTGGAAAAAAGCAGACAACCATTCATTGGCACCCCAAAGATACAGGAAACAATTGTTCTTTCCTTTAAACGGCTGGTTATCCAGCTTTGGAAGAATGTAAGGGTAGGGAGAGAAGGGGAAACCACTATTTGTCCTACACACTCTAGGCAGGGCCAGCCTTACCATTAGACAGAGTGAAGCAACTACAGTATATTAGGTAGCAGATCTTGACACCCCTGACTATTCTTTTTTTTTTTTTTAATGAAATAGGGCTATGCCTGTCCTAAACCTTCTAAGTTAACCTTTTGAGACCAACTGTGGTGATAATGGATATTCGCCAGGTTTAAAATAAATCTTTTGCCCCAGGTGTAAATCATTTGGAGAAAACCGTGGCTTTATGGACATTGATGCTCCTTAAGTGTGTCAGCATACAAACCTCCAATATGTTTCCGTGTCTTCCTGCTGATTTCCCCAACTTGTACAGAATCCATGACCCATCTATGACTTAAAGATACCTAGCAGTGATGGTGACTTGGTGTTCTAAATTCAAAGAGGGAAATTTAAGCAAGCAAGTGTTAAGAGGAAAAGGTTAAAAAGTGGTAAACAGTCAGCCATCAGTTTTAGGGGTGTAATGGTATGTGGGAATGACCTTGGGAGATGGGGAAAGAGGTGCTGCCTAGGGAGTGATCAGATAAAGGGGTGGGGGAGCCCGCAGCTGCATAACGGGCAGAAAAAGAAACTCAGAAAGGAACCTCCCTAACTTATCGGGCAGTAAAAAGAGATGGTGGGAGATTTGTACTTTCAGACTTGCGAGATTCTGTTAATGTAACCCTACGATAAAGTAGAATTAGACCATCTGGTTCGGGTTCTCTGTCTGGTCTACCTGGGAAGGCTGACAAGGGGGAAAAAGGAAACATCTTTCTTCTCGACTAGAGTAAATATTCTAAAACCTTTGTGGAATCTTCTCCTTTCACATATTTTGAAATGAAGATTGACAGGATTTTTCAATGTAGCATCTCACAGACTGTAATTTTTTTAAGCAAATTAACATAATGATATTTCTGTGGTGTGCAGCTGACTCTTGATGTTATGCAAAGTAAATGTATACTTTGGACACTGAGTGCAGGTTGTGCAGGATCATAGCTTTTCCTTCAGGAGCTTAGTTTATGATCCCATTCCTTCCACATGGGAGTTAAACAAAGAAGAAGAAATATCAATCACCATTAAAACCAGAGTCAACTGACTTACTGCACATCCCATGGACCACTCCTGCTCGCCCCCCAACCAGACACTGCTGGATTCATCAGACAGCGTATTTGGTTGCCTGATACAGATGAAAGTGGGTTGACTTCTTGCCTTTTTCTGAGAGTTGCTTTGAAGGTTAATTTATTTCCACGCAATTTGCTTAAGGTGATTGATACCCTGCCTTGCCTTTTCAAGAGTTTTCCTTTGTTTGTCGGTAGCAGATCGGTGGTTCTCTTTTCTACCTCACTATGGATGTGTTAGAAACTGAATGCCACGTCCTGAGCAGGAAGTTGTCGAAAGACTGCAACGTTAGACGTGCACATGAGACAGTAAGTAATCGATCTATTTAGTTAAAAGAATTACCAACGGGGATTGGAAGAAAGGCAAAACTGGGTTTTGAACCGGTTGATAAAGGAGGCTGAGGGAGTCGCTCCACCCCCCTGCCATGTCGTAACAAACCTCTCTCTTCAGAATAGCCTTGACAACTTCTCCAATCTTGCCACTGGTTTCCTTAGCAGGTGTGTGCATGTTCACAATAATTCCCTGCAGCGAGATGCCATTTCAAATCGATGGCATTGCACACATGGCATCATAGTACCAGAAGGGCCAGGGAGACCACCGAGTCCAACCCCCACTCAGTGCAGGAATCCAGGGGAAATCATCCCTGACAGACGGCTCTCGGGCCACCTGGTAAATGTATTCAGGGAGAGGGAGCGCATCTTTTCCATTGGTAGACCAGGTCCACAGCGCTTACTCCTGGAAAGTGTTTCCTAATATGCAATCTGAGGCTGCCCTCCCACAACTTAAACCAGTTCTTCCATGTCATGCACTCTGGAACGAGAGGAGGCAGTTCTTG